TCCAGACTTATTTATAAATAAATAAATAGATAAATAAATAAATAAATCGTTTACCAAAACTGAAAAAAAAAGCCTCAGACCATTTCAAGTTAGATTAGTTTATTTCTTCATCAAAATAGATATTTAGCATCACATCACTTGCTCACCGATGTATCCTTTGCAGTGAATGGCTGCCGTCAGAATGTGAGCCCAAACAGCTGATGAAAACATCACAATAATCCACAAGTGATCCACACAACACTCCAATCCATCAATTAATGTCTTGTGAGGCAAAAAGCTGCATGTTTGTAAGAAACAGCTTAAACTGTTGCTTCCAGCTACAACTGTCCTCTATCCATAATATTGCCTCCTCCAGTGAAGAAGTCATCTAATCTGAATCAGGAGAGACATATGCACAAATCCAGCACCATTTAAAAGAAAAACAGTCCAAAACAGTTCTACACAAATATGTGCGGATTTTGATGTGAGAGCTGGACTTTTTCATCAGAGGAAGCATTATTACAGATTATGAACTCCATATATTGGCCAGAAATTAAGGTTTAAAGTTAAAACCCCTTAATTATGAATTTGTTTCTTAGAAACATGCAGTTTTTTGCTTCACAAGACATTAACTGACAGGCTTATTTTTGGATTATTGTGATGTTTTTATCAGCTGTTTGGACTCTCATTCTGACGGCACCCATTCACTGCAGAGGATCCATTGGTGAGCAAGTGATGCAATGCAACATTTCTCCAAATCTGTTCTGATGAAGAAACCAACTCATCTACATCTTCAATGGCCTGAGAGTGAGTACATTTTCATTTCTGGGTGAACTATTCACTAACTAATTGATCATCAGTAATGCTTGATAAAAACTATTTATCACTATTATTACATTTCCACGACTTTTCCAAATTCTGCTTGCTTCATGAACCAACAATGCTTAATAAACAGAATCTCTGTTCACTGGGTTGCTAATTTTGGAACAGAACCGAACCTCTCGGGTCATCAAACTAGTGCAGTAGTAATCATGAAGTTTTGCACCGTTCCATGTACGCCGTCCACCAAGTTTAATCGGGAGATTTTCTCATTAGAAGCCCATCGTGAGGTGAGGGCCACCGTTTAAAAGAGCAGCAATTCTTCAGGTCTCAGAGAGGACATGTACATCAGTTCAGCTGAACAGGCCCTTAAAGTCAAAGGCAAAAAAATGATTGAGGACAAGAAATCGAAGCACCCTGTCCACTCCAAAAGCCACAGTGCTGGAGAAGATAATGAGCCCCTGAAGCTCTCAAAGTGAGAGTCTGATTATACTCTAACTACACACACACTTACACAGAACTGATTAAACACCAAACTGCGTATGTTCTCCTCGCTTCTGGTTACCATCGATCCTGAACTCTTATTATACACACACTGATTGTAAACATCTGAAGTGGAGTTATTGCGCTTGTCAGGTAAGTGTTAATCTTCAAAACAAGATTTTTTTGTGTGTGTGTTCTGGTCAAAACATCAAAAATATCACACAACGCATCACATTTCCAATGCTTTTAGGTGTAAAGACAACATGAAACATTTATCTTCCATAAAGACATTATTCAGCTGGAAATAATGTAAGGCAGGATTTCATTTGATCAAATATAATTTGTTTAGATCATAAAAAGACACACTAGGCCATATTTGTTAATATTCTAATACTTTAACGTATTAATTACGTTAGTTAACACGCACTAACAATGAAAAATACTTTTAATGCTTAAATCTTAAGCTAAAATGTAATTACATTTTAAATGAATTAAATTAATTAATATATATTATAATATTATAAATTAATATATTAATTATTGTAAATGTCAACATTTACTAATATGTTACCATTTATTATAATTATATTAATGGAACTGAACTAACATGATCTAACAATGAATATTTGTCATTTATTAACTAATGTTAACCAGCAATAAATGCTTTAACAAATGTAATAATTGTTATTTAATGCAATAACTAATGGGACCTTATTGTAAAGTGTTACTGTTTATATAGTTAATTAAGAATATTTTTGGTAACACTTTACAGTAAGGTTCCATTTGTTAACATTAGTTAACTACATTAGTTAACATGAACTAAGAATACAAATTCTTCTAAAGTATTTATTAAACTTAGTTAATGTTAATTTCAACATTAATACATTATTAAAATCAAAACTTGTATCTGTTAATATTATTTAATGAACCGGAGCTAACATGAACGAACAATGAATAGTTGTATTTTTATTAAAGGGGTCATAGGATGCTTCATGCACTTTTACAAGTTGTTTGAACTGAAATGTGTGTTGGCAGTGTGTGTACACAACCACCCTATAATGATAAAAATCCACCCAGTGTTTTTAAAAAAACACTTGATCTGAAAAGAGCTGTTTTTGACAGGGTAAAAAAAAAGGTGTTTTTACACTACCATTGAGAAATTTTAACCAAACTATGTTACAGACTTTTCATTAAGACCCTAAAGAATCATATCAACTTGTGGAAAACGGGCATCATATAACCCCTTTAACTAGCTTTAACAAATATTAACGCATTGTTAACACATTGGTAATGTTAGTCAATGCATTAATGTTAACTAATTAGACCTTATTTTAAAGTGTTACCCATTTTTTCTCAGCATGTGAACTAAAAAATTAACACAGAACAAGATGAGAGACATTTACAGTATTTCATGTTGCCTTTAACTAAATTACCCACAAACTTCAAAGTCATATACAGTTTGATCAATATATTCTTTTTTTAATTTTAGCATTGATTTAAAAAAAACACCAAACAAAACAAAAATCCAGGAGTGAAGAAAAGCATTTTTACATGTATAACAAGCATGTTTTAATACTGTTTTACACAGTCAACAGAACAATGTGAATCAAAGACGAAATTAAAACAAAACAAACTAATTAATAAAAATAAACCCCCTGCACAAATCCATCAGGAGCAGAGGAATTCCCTTTTCTATAATATAAACACGGCGAAACGGAAATAAAAATACAATAAAAAAAAGATGGGCGGAGAAACTGATATTCTGAAAAAAAGTAAAAAGCGGTGAAAAACAGCTGCAAAAAAAAGATGCGCACATTTGTTAAAAATGCCAGCGAAGGTACGTGAGTTTGCGTGTTTGTCCTTTTCGTCCGCGCCAAACGCTCGCAGGATGCACAAACCCTGCCATGACTGCAGTTCAATATCTACAAAATCTGCATTTGAACAACTTCCTTATATACACTGTACAACGATTGCCGTCAAAATTACAGCTTTTACAAAAAACGATCCGCCCAATGGCATTCAAAATGACAGTGCAAGCTCTGAAACCATCTCACGCCAAGCGTCTCAATCCTGTTCCCTTCAGGCCAAAACGCCTTTCCAATCCAAAGTTGGTCCACAGCATCATGCCTCTCTCGCTCTCCTTCTCCCTCGTTCTCATTTTGATTTATATTTTATTGATTTTCACTTTCTTTACATTTTCTTTCCCTGCATCTTTGATTCAGTATTCTGTTTCAGGACTTGGCATTTCCTTCTTTCTGACTTGCCGTTATTGCTTTCACTCTCTCGTTCCACTATTTTTTCTGGTTTGGGTCGGTTGAGAACCGGAGGAGGTTTTTGGACTGCGCGCTACAGGCATGTGTCATTCTTGCATTGTAAGTGCCTGCGAACACACAAACATTATTGAAGATATTCTGCTTATGGCTTTCTGATATGTAACCGTGATGTTTTCACAAGACATAAAAGGGGAGACGTAAGCTACAGAAGAGAGTTGCCCACGTTCCATTAAAATGCTCGTCTAAAATGATCGGCTTGAAAATAGTGCTATTCAGGATCCCACTAATGCTTCACACAGAAGACGACGCTGCTACCAGTCCAGGACCTTAAATGTGACACGACAGGATTATTTTAGACAGGGCCGCTGTAAGTCTGAACATATCTGTCTATCGGTTTAGTGCAAAAAAGTCAATGCATTAAAAAAAATGAAATATTGGGAAGATACAGAAAACTTGTGTGCTTTTTGACTGTTTATAGAAAACGGTTTCATATTTATGTCCACCTGTGCACACAGACAAGATCGGCTGCAAAACCTAGTGAGCTGCCTTCTAAGGTGGCGTCCGAACTGAAATGGACCCTCATAAGTGAGCGATTTGGAACGGTCTACAAAGAAGGCAACTCAACTGCCCAGCTTGATGCAAAGCGCACCCCTGCTGAAACCAGCCTAAGGTGGTTGGCTGGTCTCCCAGCCTGGCCAAGCTGGACTTTTTGGATGGTTTTAGAGGGGGTTTGGGCATTTGGGAAACATTAGCTAAACATCTGCTTGCTGGGAAAACAGTTAAACCAGTTTAAACCAGCTAAGACCTGAAAACCCCCTTAGGCTGGTTTATTTATTTATTTATTTTTAGCTTAATTTGAGTCACAATTGATTTCAGTAGAGTTTGATGCTAACAACAAAGAAAAATGTGTATCAAATTACACAAATATTGCATAACTTAGTCATTTTTAAACTACATTTTTATTGATATTTTTCAGAATGAAATAAGAGTATATTTCTAGCTCATCTTGCCTATGGTCTTGGATCAGTTTTTTTCACAATGCATTCAGGGATGTATATGCGAGTTGCTACCTTATTTATGCTGTAATAAAAAAAAAAATCCTTTCTAATTTTAATTTAGGTTTGTTTATTGTACGTAATTCTAAGTTTTGTTTACGCATAAATAATTAAAAAATTGTAAGTACAAAGGATTTCACTTTATAAAATTCCAAATAAAAATATTTAAACTGAATTTAAACAAAACAAATGTATTGTTTTGTATTTACTTTAACATAGGTTTGGTATTACTATTAGTATATTATTTATTTTCATACTTTATTGTATGTAATTATAAGTTTTGTTTTTGCATAAATAATTTTAAAAAGTGTAATCACAGAAGATTTTACTTTCAAATAAAAACATTTAATGGCTTTGTGTATACAATTTTTTTTTTTTTACATTTCTATTACTTTTAGGATTTTGTTTATTGTCATTCTTTATTGTATGTAGTTGTAAGTTTTGTTCTTGCATTAATAATCTAAAAGATGTCATTAGAAAGGATTTTATTTCATGAAATTCCAAATAAAAATATTTAAACTTACAATTTGTATCATAGAAGGCAGCATATTATCGTCTAGGTAGGCGGTTCACTAGGTTTTAAGACAGATCCAGATTTCAAACACACAAAGGACAGCACCAAACAAATCAGGAACTGGACGGAACAATGAAGTGCACCAGGCGATTTCTGAAAACACGTCTACAGATCATTGGTCTCCGTTCACTATGACGCTTCTTGTTGCTTTAGTCGTCTGGTCCCCACCCATGACATCACTTCCGGCCACTTCCTGTGCTTTAATATTTGAGCTGCTCATGCAGAGGGCAGCACTGAGAGTTTGTCCTCAGACCGAATCTGCTGCATCCGTCTCACAAACTCTGACAGACGCAAGAGTTTAGTGTCTTTTATGTGGGAAAAACACGTCCTGTTAACGTCACTAACTGCGTCTGTAGTTCGCGGTGGCGTATCAGACCTCAGTCTGCTGCGTATGCGGGTGCATGTGTGTGTCCTCCAAACTATCCAAGCTTCCTCCCGTCTCAGAGTCTTCAAACCCACAGGGCGCGGAGGAAACGTCGGAGGCAGAGGAGGCGTTGACGGACAGATGCTCCTCCCTGCCTGTAAAAGTGCTAAACTCCTCCCCCGCAGAGCCGAGTGGCAGCTGATGCGGAGGCAGGTATTGGCTGGGGTGAAAGTGTGGGCGGGGCTTGCGGTCCCCGCTCAGAGTGCTCTCCCTGGAGACGGGTTGATTGGCGGGTGAGGTGTCGTATTCCTCTGTGGGAAGGGGCGGAGGCAGCTGGTCCTGGGACATAAACTCCTCCTCCTGAGGAGGCGGGTAGTCGCTGTCGATATCGAATCCGCCAAGGTAATAGTCGGATTCTAAGGCCACACCCACTTCACCCGTCTCATAGGTGGGGACTTCCTCGATGTCTGGTAAGTGTATGCTCGGCAGCCAATCGGAAGTGTCCCAGTGGTATGCTGGAGAAACAGGAAACAGGAAGTTAGTAAACATCAAGTGGGCAAACAACTAAGGGGGTCCTTCGGTAGGTACGTAATCATGTAGGGCTGCATGCTTGGTCATTCTGAAGGGAGGTTAACAGGTTAGATATCAGTCCTGTCCCAAACAGAGCACTTGTTGAGACCGTAGGGTGTCCCATTTGCAACATAGGCTCACTGGAAAAACGTGCTTCTTCCTTTTGCAAAAACATACCTATACATAGAATTCACTGCAGTTTCCAGCACTAGTGTCAGTAAAACACCATCAACTTTTATTCATGTTTGCACAAATTATGATTATGGGGCAGATTATCAATTAATAAAGACTTATTCTCTCAAAGGTATTTGCACAATACTGTTAAACATTATTTTATAAATTTTACATACATTTTTTCCACATTTCTGCTCAGTCTTTGCTCATTAATATATATATTTTTTGTGATGCAGTAGTATTGGATTTATACTTTTCTAGTTTTTACTGTATTTTCATCCAATGCAGCTATGATTGTGTGCGAGGTTTTATATATATATATATATATATTTTTTTTTAAATTAATTAATTAATTATTTTTTCAAAATTTAATTTGTAATTCAATGTCACTTGCAGTTTCTTTGTAATTATTTGTGAAATTTACTAGCAATTTCTGAGTGAAAATTGTTTCAAAGTAAATTCAACACTATTTTTTTTTCAGTGTAATATATTTTGATGTTTGCATCACATAGCTAGCTCCATATATATGGCATTTCTGATGTAGTAAACTTGCTCAGGAGCACACCTGGTAAAGTGTTGTGCTTGTGATTCAGAGGGCTCGGGTATGAGTCTGTTAAACACAAGTCATAATAAAAGAGCTCAAACACTTTTAGAAGAAAGCTAAAATGGCATGGTTGGCTCAGCAAATGTGTTTTTATCTCACATTTGCTTTTGTTAACACTGTCAGATATGTTTATACGACTCACCAGGTTTATTACAATCAACTAAAACCATAAAAACAATTATTTGTTACTTAAAACGAAAAAAGAAAATGTTAAAAAACATAAACCTTATTTAACCTAATTTCAGCTTGTTGCCAAGGCAAAATTTCTCATTTTCATTTAGTTGGAAATGAAATGATATACTAAAATTAAAACTGAAATAAAATTGAATAAAAAATACATACACATAAAAAAACAACAACTAAAACACAGTAAAATAAACAGAAAATACAAAAAATAAAAACTATTTCAAAATATTGGTAAAAACTATAATAGTAACTTAATGATACTAATATAACCAGACATTTCATTTCCAAACTGCCTCAATTCATACAACAACCAACATAAAACACTACCACAATCATGTTCATCTGTTTTGGATAAAATTGAACATGATTTTAGTGTCACTCCCTAGATATTTCACTTTGAACGTGTTTCAGAAACTGCAGGAAGCAACTAATATAATTTTTCAGAGATGTCGCTACAGGCACGTTTTTTCAAATGAGTCTCGGCTGCCCATTTGTGATCCATTTTATTTTTTGGCACAGAAACATTACACTGAGCATCTCCACATGCAGGTCTTGCCGTAGTGAGTGGACATGCCTGCAAGGTGATCAAAGACGCAGCCAGGACAAGAGGTCAAGGTTCAGAGGTCAGTGACACGTTGTTGACACAAGCCAAACACATTCATCAAAAAACGCAAACCAAAAGAAATGAGTGTGAGGACTGCATGCAGCGATGCATGAAAACACAGAAGCGCAGGGACGCACACGCACACGGACACACACACTGTACACGGGCTTAATCCTCGCTATCAGAAAACATCAATATCAAACAAAAGAAGAACACAAAGTCAGCAATGGAAGCATTGCGGGGGAACAGACAGACGCGAAAGAGAGGAAAGGGGTGACGGAGGGCTGCAGGTACTCTGATGTGTGTGCGTGTGTGTGCGAGAGCGCGTGTCGACAAAGAGCATCTCGCTGCTGGATGATGTGACATTTCCCACAATGCAATAGCTCAGTTTGTCAGCAATACGGAAAGGGAGAGCGAGAGAGGGAGGAATAGACAGAGAACAAAGTCTGAAAAGAAGGAGATGCAAGAACTCCGGGAGATTTAACTGAACAAAGCAGGAGGAGATAGAGAACGTGAATCACCTCTGTTGAAGTTTTGACCTTGATCCATAACGGACACTGGCAGGCAGAAAAGAAGCAGGAAGACAGAGAAAGAGAAAGAGAGACAGATTTGTGGGTCAGCACCAAACCCATTCTAACTCTTTTGTGATATATTGGTGAATGTGATATCCTTACAAAAATTAAACATGTTTTTTTTTATTTTTATGAATAAATCTAGAAGTTGGGACGTTTTTGTAAAATGCAATAAAATCAAGAATTTCTGATTTGTTCATTCTCTTGAACTTTTATTTAATTGACAAAAGTACAAAGAAAAGATTTCCAAAGTTTTCACTGACCAATGTAAATGTATTTTGTAAATATAAACACATTTTGTTTTTGACGGCTGCAACACATTCCAAAAAAGTTGGGACAGAGGCAAAATAAAAGTGAAAAGGTTATAGAATATCCATGTTAAACTGTTTTGAAACAGTTCACAGTAAGCAGGTGAATTGGTAATAGGTCAAGGTATCATGTTTGGGTATAAAGCAGCATCTCAGTCTTTGCAAGCAAAGCTGGATCATGGCTCATCACTTTGTGCCAAATTTCACGAAAGAAAAAAAATCACATTTCGCAATGCAGAATTGCAAAGAATTTAGGTCTTTCACCAAGTACCATACATAATATTGTGAAAAGATTCAGGGAATCCAGAGAAATCACAGTACATGTAGAGCAAGGCAGGAAACCTCAGTTGAATGTGCTTGACCTTTGAGCCCTCAGATGGCATTGCATAAGAAACCGTCATGCGTGTTAAATATAGCCACATGGGCTCAGGAGTACTTCAGAAAACCCCTGTCATTTACCACAGTCTGCTGCTGCATCGAGAAATGCAACTTGAATCTCTGTTACTCTAGGAGAAAGCTATACATCAATTCTATGCAGTGATGCTGCCGTTTTCTCTGGGCCAGAGCTCATCTCAGA